TTTTCTTCGAAATTCTTTCGTGGGGCAAATAAAGTTGCACAAAAATCTACCAACTGCAGAAGACACGGTTGGGCTGGATTGTTGCTGGAGCTCTAACTTCACATTCCCCACTCTCGTATCATCGGTGTTAACATCGTCGTACTTGCCTTATAACGAGTCATCTTCACTCACGAACTCATCGCTGGAAGCCCGCTTGGAAAAATTCTGGGAATAGAAGATAACTGTTATAAACTATCGCTGGAGCCGCGAATTACAGAGCATGAATGTGAAGAACATTTTCTCCGAAATACTACGCGCTGCTTGTTCACCAACAAATTCATCGTACGCCTCCCCTTCATCGAAAATCCCGCTGGGTTAGGCAATTCACTGGAAACTGCTCGCCGAAGATTTTTCGCAATAGAAAGGAGACTAGAAAGCAACGAGGAGATGCGGCAAGAGTACAAGGCGTTCATGAACGAGTATAGTGAGCTAAAACACTTGGTGCCGGTTGATCCAAGGGATTGACGTCAAGGTGGGTACGTACATTCCCCACCACTGTGTTGTGAAGGTGGATAGTTCGACAACCAAGCTACGTGTGGTAGTCGACGCTCCATGCCGCTCGTCCAATGGAAAAGCGCTGAATACATTCTACACGTAGGGCCCACACTGCAAGATGACATAGTTAAAATTCTCCTTCGTTTTCGAACTCATCGCTTCGTCTTAATGGCCGATATTGCCAAAATGTATCGGCAAATCATCGTTGACTCACGTGACGCCAAATGGCAGTGTATTTTGTGGCGCAATTCACCTTCAGAACCGCAACAATGCATGAACATACGGCACCAGTTGCGCTCCATTCTTGCAGTTCGTTGTTTGCAGCAACTTGCAAGCGAAAACATGAAAGCCGACCCCGTAGGAGCTCCAATCACCCTTCGGGACTTCTACGTGGACAATTTAATGACAGGAGGGTCTACTGTAGAAGAAGTTATCAGAATAAAATCTGAAGTCACCGCATTACTAGAATCGGGAGGCTTCCCACTTCGCAAATTCGCTTCTAACTGCAGCGAAATTATTGCAGGCATACCCAGCGTGGACATGGAGGAGATTTCACAGTTGATGCATGACCTACATAAAGGCGCTTGGGTTGAAATGGTCAACAACTAGCGATCAATTCCTCTTCTCGTACAATTCGTCGCAACACACTTCACCGAAGGCTACCAAACGTACCATATTAGCACAAGTGGCAAGTTTCTTCGACCCCCTAGGCGTACTTAATCCTATCATCGTAAGTGCAAAATTTTGATGCAACACCTCTGGAAACTGCGTTTAGCATGGGATGAGAGTGTACCGCTCTCTATTTGCACAGAATGGGAGAGCATATGCCAACAACTAGCCCTCGTCAACCGCATTAAAGTGCCACTGTATGTATGCTTTAACAATAACACTAACCTACATGCCTTTGCGGATGCAAGCGGTAAGGCATATGGGGCCTGTATTTATGCTGTCTCTCACAATGACAAGGCGGTGCAGTCAACGCTTATTTGCGCTAAGTTACGAGTGGCACCAAGAGGGAAATCAATTGCCCAAATTGGAACTATGCGCCGCTCTGCTACTCTCAGAGCTGCTTCAGTCGGTCTTGGAGACATATAGCCGCGGCCTAGCAATGTACACTGCTGGTCTAACTCAACGATCACCTTATCGTGGTTGCAGCGTGAACCACATCACTGGACCACGTTCGTAGCTAACCGGGTGGCAAAAATCCGGCGCATCACGGTGACTTTACATGGCATCACGTCCCGTCCGAGGAAAATCCAGCGGATTTGGTGTCACGTGGGGCTTCAGTAGAGGGGCTCATCGGTAATAACTTGTGGTTTCATGGACCAGCATTCTTGCAAAGAACAGTAGCAGCTGGCCACGCAATCCAGTAGACGCTTACAAGAAGTTCCAGAGCAACGAATGCTTTGTTTTTCCGTGACATCATCGCTACAAGAAGATATCATCGCTGAGCATAAGTACGTGAACAGCTACAGCAAACTTCTTCGTATCTTCGCTTACGTCAGACGGTTACTTCGTCGCTCGTCATCGTTTTGTTGAATCTGGACCGATTACTGCCAGAGAACTAGACGACTCGTTGTTGACGTATTCGATACATACAGCTCGTAGCGTTCGCCGATGATCATAAGCACTGCACACATCTGGAGTTAGTCGTAGTACTAAGCTCCATCAATTATCGCCATTTCTACACGACGAAATAATCCGGGTTGGTGGAAGAATTTCGAACTCATCGTTGCCTTGGCCACAAGCATCCAATACTTCTTCCAAAAACGCACCCATTCGTGCGTACCCTCATTGAAGCGTTTCATCGCCAACACCTCCATGCAGGTTGCCAAACTCTGTTGAGCATTCTTCGCGATAGATTTTGGATTATCAATGCTCGAAGCATCATCAAACAGGTAATTCACAACTGCATTTTGTGTTATCGCAACAAACCCAAACTGGAACAACAGCTCATGGGCGCACTTCCTCGAGAACGTGTGAACCCGCTCATCCCTTTGAAGTAGCTGTGTAGATTATTGCGGCCCTTTGACGATCACGCAACGCATCAGAAGCAAGGGCCCCCTCAAAGTGTACATAGCGCTGTTTATCTGCTTCACAACAAAGGCGGTGCACCTGGAGTTGGCACCAGACTTAAGCACACCATCGTTCATTGCCGCCCTAAAGCGCTTCATTGCGCGCAGAGGCAAATGTGGAACAATCTTCTCTGATAATGCAACAAATTTCGTCGGGGCAAATCGAGAGCTGCGAGAGCTTTTATCTGCATTCACGTCGCAACGCACATCGATAAGGTTCAATCATCGCTAGCTGGAGAAGGCATAGAATGGAGATTCATCCCCCACGGTCACCCCACTTCGGTGGGCTATGGGAAAGCGCAGTAAAGCGTGCCAAGTATTATCTCGGCGCGCTGTCGGCTCTCATCTGCTCACATTTGACGAGCTACACACGGTTTGCTGCCAAACGGAAGCGATGATAAACAGCCGCCCACTAACGCCTTTATCTTCGAGCCCCGACGATCTTCGTGCGCTTACCCCTGGGCATTTCTTAGTTGGCAGAAGTCTCACCACTGTCATCGAACCATCGCTTCAACAAACTTCTACGGATTACTCGCCAGGTACCAAATTGTTCAATCAGTACAACAAGGCTTTTGGGAACGATGGCGGCAGGATATTTAAAGGAACTCCAGCAGCGCACAAAGTGTTGCTAACGCACCGCTAATCAGCAGCTTATGCAAAGGTGCGTGCATAAACAACACAATTTTTGGACCATCGTTGCGCGCGTCACTCGTCGTAGCGGTTATAAATTCTTCGCTGCACAAACAACAATAAGCATCGCTAAACCGCACATTTCCATATCGCTCTTCTCCCGCTATTCGTCGTTATTAATATTTAAGCATAAGCAAATAGTTTAAGAAAATGTCTGTACAGTCCATTTGAAGATCTCCTAGCGTACGGAGCAATAAAGGCATAAAACCAGACTTCAATTTGTTAAATAATTTTTTTGCATTCGACAGCCGGTAAAAACCATTACTCGGCTCGACCAAGGTCCTTCGAGCCGGATCGAACGGCAATCGCATTTAATTTTCTGTATTTTCGCATCGTGAAATCTGACCACTTAACTTTAAACATAAAAAATTCTTGCCTTGATAATGGGTGCAGAGGGCAAAGCAGATCCACAGTTTGGCGACGCGGCGACACCACCAAGGTCAAGCAGCAACAACAACATTCGCGTTAAGGAGCTGCAACGAGAACAGTTATGCTGTCGAGTTGCTGATCTACGTGAAAACTTGCTTCACCTCAACGCCATGACACCCTCGCAACTCGAGACTAAGCTAGCGCTCCTCGAGCATCATTTCACCACTTTTGAGCGCTTGCAATCAGAGCTGGAATTTCTAGATGACTCGCAATTTGAATTGGATCATCGCATCGTCTTCGAAGAGGCTTTTTGTGAGGTGAAAAGTGCCATCGTCGAACGTGATGGCCTCAGTAGCACCATAGTCCCAGCACCAAATTCTTCGTCGTCACCGCCAGCCCGGCATAGTTTGCCTAAGCTGCAGCTTACTAAATTTAGCGGCAAACATACTGAGTGGCTAGACTTCTACAACATGTTTAAAGTCCTTGTGCACAACAATGCTGGACTTGATGATATTGAGAAATTTCAATATCTGCGCTCTTGCTTAGTTGACAGCGCATTTCGCTTAATCCAGTCGTTGTGAAAAATTCACCGCCATGGATCCAATGCAGAGGTATGATCTTGCTAAGAAGAAAACCCTTTGCTTGAACTGTCTGAGTAAAGGCCACGTATCGAGCAAATGTCCATCAAACAATCGGTGCCAATACTGCAAGGTAAGTCATCATTCTCTACTTCATCGTACTCCACCTTCCACGTCGTCTGCACAAGAGTCCACGCAAGCACAAGCAGTGGCGCTGCACGCTCATCGACCAGTTAATGACGTCATCCTTGCTACTGCAATAGTGCAACTTCACAACAATCGTGGCACCTCGGTCATGGCTCGTGCGCTGCTTGACTCGGCATCTCAGTTAAACTTCGTTTCCAAGAGCATCGCCCAGATGCTGATGGCTTCTCGCACCAAAGTCGCCATGGAAATCAGTGGAATAGGAGCGCTACGAACTAAAGCAAAGTACATAGCTGTTGTCGGACTCAAATCCCTGCATACGGGTTTTTCATCGTTATTGGAAGCGGTTATCATGCCATCGATTTCATCGTCTCAGCCACGAACCACTATCGATATTGTTCGCTGGGGAATACCCAAAAACATAAATTTAGCCGACACCAGCTTTTATATCCCCGGTGCTATTGATCTGCTTCTTGGTGCGAGCGTTTTCTTCGAAATTCTTTCTGTGGGGCAAATAAAGTTGCACAAAAATCTACCTAGACTGCAGAAGACACGGTTGGGCTGGATTGTTGCTGGAGCTCTAACTTCACATTCCCCACTCTCGTCATCATCGGTGTTAACATCGTCGTACTTGCCTTATAACGAGTCATCTTCACTCACGAACTCATCGCTGGAAGCCCGCTTGGAAAAATTCTGGGATATAGAAGATAACTGTTATAAACTATCGCTGGAGCACGCAATTACAGAGCATGAATGTGAAGAACATTTTCTCCGAAATACTACGCGCTGCTTGTTCACCAACAAATTCATCGTACGCCTCCCCTTCATCGAAAATCCCGCTGGGTTAGGCAATTCACTGGAAACTGCTCGCCGAAGATTTTTCGCAATAGAAAGGAGACTAGAAAGCAACGAGGAGATGCGGCAAGAGTACAAGGCGTTCATGAACGAGTATAGTGAGCTAAAACACTTGGTGCCGGTTGATCCAAGGGAGTTGACGTCAAGGTGGGTACGTACATTCCCCACCACTGTGTTGTGAAGGTGGATAGTTCGACAACCAAGCTACGTGTGGTAGTCGACGCTCCATGCCGCTCGTCCAATGGAAAAGCGCTGAATTACATTCTACACGTAGGGCCCACACTGCAAGATGACATAGTTAAAATTCTCCTTCGTTTTCGAACTCATCGCTTCGTCTTAATGGCCGATATTGCCAAAATGTATCGGCAAATCATCGTTGACTCACGTGACGCCAAATGGCAGTGTATTTTGTGGCGCAATTCACCTTCAGAAACTGTAACATACGGCACCAGTTGCGCTCCATTCTTAGCAGTTCGTTGTTTGCAGCAACTTGCAAGCGAAAACATGAAAGCCGACCCCGTAGGAGCTCCAATCACCCTTCGGGACTTCTACGTGGACAATTTAATGACAGGAGGGTCTACTGTAGAAGAAGTTATCAGAATAAAATCTGAAGTCACCGCATTACTAGCATCGGGAGGCGTCCCCCTTCGCAAATTCGCCTCTAACTGCAGCGAAATTGTTGATCCAAGGGAATTGACGTCGAAGGTGGGTACCTACATTCCCCACCACTGTGTTGTGAAGGTGGATAGTTCGACAACCAAGCTACGTGTGGTATTCGACGCTTCATGCCGCACGTCCAATGGAAAAGCGCTGAATGACATTCTACACGTAGGGCCCACACTCAAGATGACATAGTTAAAATTCTCCTTCGTTTTCGAACTCATCGCTTCGTCTTAATGGCCGATATTGCCAAAATGTATCGGCAAATCATCGTTGACTCACGTGACGCCAAATGGCAGTGTATTTTGTGGCGCAATTCACCTTCAGAACCGCTAACGACATTTCAACTGCAAACTGTAACATACGGCACCAGTTGCGCTCCATTCTTGCAGTTCGTTGTTTGCAGCAACTTGCACGCGAAAACATGAAAGCCG